GATCGGCTAATGCCTTGGCTGATTATCTTGCTAAACAAGGGGCTACTCGGGTTTCATTGTATTGGGCTTCATTGTAATTTTCTTTTTCCTTTGTTATGTTCTTTAACTAAAGGGTTGATGGTTTCTTCCATCTCCCCTCTTTAAAGGGGAGGTAGCATCTCGTGCTTCTCCCTAAGTTGTACTATCTTTGACTTTGATTTTACAAATCTGAATATTCACTGTTAAAAAAAAAAACACTTTCATGGAGCTCACGAGCCAGAGAGTTGAAGATCATTAACTTTGATCCATACCTGCTCTTCTATCGTAGACGGACTTGGCCTCTGCAATGAACCGTCCACAAATCCGTATTTGTTTTTTGCTCTCAGAGTAATGCGCATCGCACGCTGCCAAGTGAAGTAGTTGTGGGCAAGAAACCAGAATGGCTCCAGGATTATCAGAGGGATGCAGATAATATGGGGAACTTGGATCCAAATCTGTGCTCATCATTGGTTTCTTGAAAACAGAGTTTCTTGATTTCTGCAAGAACCGATAGATGTACCAGAATGTTGACCACCAGCCGATGAGAGTTTAGTCCGTCGGAAACGGGATGGAGCCTACACAGCAAGAAGAGACACGCAGTGAGTCTTGATCATTGTCAAGGCTCTGATACCATGACAAACCGTTGGGTTTGCGATGAAGTGAGAAAAGCTCAGCGCAGGAAAGAGTTTGCGATAAGGTTGCAACAGAAGAAAAGCAAATGGCGGTAAAAGGAGTTTGCAATAAGGTTGCAACGAAAAAAAATCAGAGTTGTCAGATGTACTTCTCTGTTTTCCATGTATTAAATACAAGAGACATTTACATATTTATAAGTGGCGGGAAGGCAGATTAGTTGCAATCTTGAATCCTGTACAGCTGTCTTGCCAGGTCAGTGTATTTTAGTTTTAACTGCCTAACCGCCGTGTGTCCTTGCTAACACTAATACATTGCTGGTGAGTGATGTGCAGAATGACATGTTTACCTGACATGATCCCTATGTTACCTTGAAGCATGTGCCATAATGGATCGGGTCAGGTTGGGTTTGGTCCAGGTCAGAGTAGAGCCGGACCTGACCTGATAAGTAAATGTGCAGAACCAGTTCTGAACTGGAACTTATAGGGTCTGTAATCAGGACTATTGGGTTTGACCCAATAAGACCCAGTCATAATTGACAGGTATACGTTTAACCTGTAATTTGATAATAAACCTAGTTATTTGTAGAGTGACACATTTGAACATCATTATATGATAATATTACAAGTCTATCACGAGAAAGATACATAGTATTTTATGATGAAAGAGAAAAATAGGTATTAGACGGGGGCATCTTTGTAATGTACCATTATGCATATTCATAATTATATATACAATTAAATATAGTCAGTTGGGTTTTAATTGGTTCAGAACAATGAAAGCTGATTCCCACTCAGTTATAATTAGGACACACAATACAGACCCAGATCCTATATAATTGGGTCAGTTCGGCTCAGGCTTGTCTGATCCGTTAACAGCCCTATAATATGGCACCCTTGTACAAGTATCTGGGTATCATATCCTGAACCTGGATGCACCATAAAAGCTATTTAGACTCTGCCAATTGTAATGACTAATCTTTCCTTTTGTTTTTTGCTTCTTCTTGTTTTTTCATTTCTTTTGTACTTAAAAACATCTTAAAGGCAATTGTCAAAATAAAAAAAAAAAACGCTTTAAGGCAGAATTGATCCAGCTAGATGTTTTCCGTAATTAGTCATGTTAGGACTATATTGTATCCACACTTAGAACAAATTCCAACACTTTGACAAGGCAAAACCTATTGTATCCATGCTTTTTTGTTATCATATTAAGGTAAGTGATAAAAAAATGAAGCGCCATTACTTGTCACTGGTTTAATATCAATGTTACCTCCAACCCACACCCCCAAGAGAAGGAATGGTATATTTGCTGCTTCATAAAATAAAATTGAGGAAAAGATCACGTTTTCCTTAAAGAAACTCGGTAGGCTTTGATGTGTTTTATTATTTTTTTTTTGAAGAATATAACAAGATTTTGTTTTGAGATTACCCATAATTGGGTAATTTATGTCTGGTCGATGAATCGGTGTTATCCACTGGTGACTGCCTTATGGCTATGGGTGGGATAGTGGCTAATAATATTATTGGCCAGTGGATTTGACACTCTTGTCAAGAGTAAAGTCTGTATCAG